CTGGTGGCCATGTGGCATCCAGTGGTTATTGGTGGCCCTATGGCATCCATGGTTACTGTTGGCCATATGGCATCCATGGTTACTGGTGGCCCTATGGGATCTCATGGTTACTGGTGGCCATATGGCATCCAGTGGTTATTGGTGGCCCTATGGCATCCATGGTTACTTGTGGCCCTATGGGATCTTATGGTCACTGTTGGCCATATGGCATCCAGTGGTTATCAGTGGTCCTATGGCATGCATGGCTACTGCTGGCCCTATGGGATCTCATGGTTACTGTTGGCCATATGATATCCTGTGGTTATCAGTGGCCATATGGCATCCATGGTTACTGGTGGCCCTAGGGGATCCCATGGTCACTGGTGGCCCTAGGGGATCCCATCAATATTGGTGGCCCTGTGGCGTTCATGGTTACTGGTGGCCACGTGGCATCCTGTGGTCATTAGTGGCCATATGGGATCCTATCATTTTTGGTGGTCATATGGCACCCCACTGTTACTGGTGGCCCTATGGGATCTCATGGTCACTGTTGGCCATATGGCATCCTGTGGTTATCAGTGGTCCTATGGCATGCATGGCTACTGCTGGCCCTATGGGATCTCATGGTTACTGTTGGCCATATGATATCCTGTGGTTATCAGTGGCCATATGGCATCCATGGTTACTGGTGGCCCTAGGGGATCCCATGGTTACTGGTGGCCCTAGGGGATCCCATCAATATTGGTGGCCCTATGGCGTTCATGGTTACTAGTGGTCACGTGGCATCCTGTGGTCATTAGTGGCCATATGGGATCCTATCATTTTTGGTGGTCATATGGCACCCCACTGTTACTGGTGGCCCTATGGGATCTCATGGTCACTGTTGGCCATATGGCATCCTGTGGTTATCAGTGGTCCTATGGCATCCATGGTTACTGCTGGCCCTAGGGGATCCCATCAATATTGGTGGCCCTATGGCGTTCATGGTTACTGCTGGCCCTATGGGATCTCATGGTTACTGTTGGCCATATGACATCCTGTGATTATCAGTGGCCCTATGGCACCCCATGGTTACTGGGGTCCCTGGGCATCCCCCTGCATCATCCCATCAGCACTGAGGGGACAGGCATGGAAGGGACCCACACCACACAGCTCCACTGGGATGAGGGGAATGCCCCCAGAGGAACAGGAATGGATGGGGATGGGGACAGCGGGGACATGGCGGTGGCACTGGGGACACTCAAAAGCCTCAGGTTCCTTCCAGCTCACTCCCAGGGCACACAGGACGGCCCCTTCTCCCACCCTACGGGGCACCTCTGACACAGCAGCTGTGTCACCGTCGTGCGACCGCTCCCAGCTGCACCCGGAGGGCGACTTTTTGGGAGGAAGGCAGCGATGGATGCAGCGTTGTCATGGCAACGTGCAGGTTCATCCTGGGCAAAGCCGCTCCTCCGAGCGCTGCAGTGGGGTCTGAGCTGCAATGGGGTCTGCACAGAACCCCCCCCCAAGGGGGCAGGATGTGCTCCCACCACTCTTTGCTTCGCACGGAGCGCACCGAGAAGCATCAGTGCTGTCCCCTACACCAGCAGGGACTTTCTGTGAACAGCACTCTGCAAAGACACCGCTGGAGATGGACCCAAAGGGGACACAGAGGTCACGTCCCCAGGGTGGGAGCAGCAGTGGGACCCCAGGACAGTGCTGTGTCACACAGGCAGCACACGGAGCCGTCTCCCCCAGCCATCCCAAGGGGCTGACGCACACAGCGCGTCCCGGCCACCTCCCTGTGTTGGGAAAGCTCCGCTCCTTTGAGCTGCTTTGTTGGAGAAATTGTTTATAAAAACGCTCCAAGCTGTCAGGGGAGATCCTCAGGCATTTAACGAGCTGACAGCCCATTCCTTCCTGGAAAAGGGTGTTAAAAATAAACAAATTAGCGAGAGGAAAGAGGCAGGAGGGCCTTTTGGCAGCACACTGGGCAAAAGGGCGTTGGGATGGGGAGGGGGGCCCCTTTGGCAAAGCCCCTGCCCCCCCCTCCAGCACTGACAGCTCACGGCTGCGTGGGGTTTCCATGGAAACCTCGGCACAGTCCGGCGGTACCCGGGTATCCCCAGCTTCATAGAACAGCTTGGGTTGGAAGGGACCATAAGGATCACTGAGTTCCAACCCCCCCCATCACAGGCAGGGCCACCAACCTTCAGATCTGGCACTAACTCAAGGTCCCATCCAACCTGGTCCTGAACACCTCCAGGGACAGAACCTGTTCCAGAACCAGTTTGTGCAAAGAACTTCCCAATCTAAGCCATCCCCTCCTTGAGCTTACAGCCACCAGATGGGTCAGGCACGACCTTCCCTCGGTGAAGCCATGCTGGCTGCCTGGGATCACCCGCTCACCCTTAATTTGTGCCTTAATTTGTCTTCCAGGAGGATCTGCTCCATGATCTTCCCAGGCTCAGAGGTGATGCTCACCAGCCTGGAGTTCCACTTATCCTCCTTCTTCCCTTTCTTGTCAATGGGAGTGACGAATTCTCCCCAGGTGACACATCCTTGTTTCCACCATCCCTTCTTCTCCCTCAGTGTGACCAGCAGGTCCTTGCCAAGCCATGCTGGTCTCCTGCCTCCCCTTCCCGCGCTCTTATTGAGAGGGACAGAGTGCCCTTGTGCTCTCAGAAAGGCATCCTGAACGAGCAGCCAGCTTTCCTCCACTCCTTTGTCTCTAAGGACACCTTCCCAGGACATCCCGTCCAACGAATCCTAAAACAGCCTCAAGTTCTCTCTCCCAAATTCACGGCAGCAACGGGATGAGGGGAGGTCCTGCACCCAGAGGGCACAGCAGCAGGTGCCCACTGCAGGGTCGGGGATGGATGGATCCCTTCAGCCCCAAAAACCACCCTGCAGCCCTATGGAATCCCAGCAAGACGCTGCCCCACGGAACCCCCCTCAACAGAGCTGCCCCACATGGCAAATAGAGAGCCGGAACATCCTCAGGGAGCTAGCAATTAACGCAATTAACACCCGGGGAAGCAGCTGAGCCCTTCCCGCAGGTGGGGAGGAGCGGTGGCTGAGGATTTATGGCTCTGGCGGCCCCACATCCATCCCCGCCGAGATCACGGACGGATTAGCAGCAATCCCTTTATAAGCACCTAAAAGATAATAGGGCCACCAACAGCCGGCGCGGATTTGTGGGACCAAACGGACTCAAACCCATCTCCTCTCCTCCACCAGCCCGCGAGTGCCGGACCCCACATGTTTTTAGGGGTCGGGGGAAGGGAGGGCAGTGAGGAAATGAGCGCACGCCGCTAATTGCCACCAAAACATCGGCTACTGAAGCCGCGTGGCTGCGCATTGGAGGAGCCGTGAGGATGCGGAGACATCAGAGAGCCCACGGGGAGGGGTGGAAGGAAGCGGGGGAGGCAAAGTTGGGGGTGGGACACCTCCGTGCTGGGGGTGCTTCGGTTTCACGGCCCCAAATCGCGACGTTTCGGCCGATTTGAGCCGCCCTGCCCTGCGCGCTGAGCGGGGCTCAGCCGGGACGGGAGGACAGAACCGAGAACAAGAAGCGGGAGGAAGTCGGCGGCGAGCCGGGTTCAGCCCGGCCGGGCACAAACACAGCGACCCTGAGGGGTAAATATTATTGCAGCACAGCGCAGCTTCTCAAATATTTGTTCTGAGCGGCTCTTCGACCGTAGAAGGGGCAGAGATCTCCTGCGCGGCTCTGCGCTGGGGAGCTCAGCCCTGACGGCGCGCACGGAACGCAGCGCAGGAGGAGGGGCTCGGCGCTCCCGGTGTCCCCCCGGTGGGTGCGGAATGACGCCGGCAACTCCCGGCATCGCTGCTCGGTGACCACAGCCCCGGTTTGGCCACGGGCCCGGCAGGAAGGCGGCTGCTCCCGCGCCTTTCCTTGGCTGCTCCCGAGAGATGGGTGCCGTGGGGACAGCGGTGTTGGGTCAGGGTCGCACTGGGGGACGCCCCCAGACTCAGGGCGCGGTCTGCACGCTGCGCCCGACCCCCCGCTGCCCCAAAACGCTGGCATCGGAGCGGGCCTTTATCTCCCCGCAAAGCCGAAGAGGGCAGAGAGGAAGAGAATGGGCAGCGTGATTAGGAAAGTATTTCACAGCTTTCCTTGGCAGAGCGGCCGTGCGGTGAAAGAGGAGAAATGCGGGACCCTCCCTGTCCTACAAACATGGAGAGGTGAAAAACCTGCGGCTCGCAGCCGCCGGAGGGGAGCGTGAGGGGGTGAGAAGGATGGAACTCATCGCTCCTGCAGCCGTTTGTCCCCTTGAGAGGGGTGGGATGGGGGCGGGGGGGGAAGGCAGCGAACCTCCCCGCTTCCAGAGCACACGTGGACCCTTTGGGGATGAGTCCTCGGACATACCTGCACCTCCCGCGTGTGGTAGGCGATGATGAGCCCCAGCAGGATGACGGTGGAGAGGCTGATAAGGCATTTCAGGGCCAGGGAGAACATGGAGTCCTGCGGGAAAAGAGGAGGGGAGCTGGGTCAGCGATGGGGATGGAACCGAGGGACCCCCGTGGTCCATTTACTGAACCCACCGCCCTCCTCGCAGCTCCAGCGAGCCACCCAGCCCAGCGGTATGGCACTCTGATGGTGAGCCAATTAAGACCCTCCTGCTAATTAGCTCTATGTAAATTAACCCCTGATTCAGTGGTGACTCCAGCAAAACGCACCCCACCTCCCACAGGTCCCTATGGGGGAGGGGTTGAGTTCGTTTTCCCCGTGTAAGACCCCAGACCCTATTTGGTCGCAGGGAGCCCTTCGCTCAACCCCAGCACTGACACAATGGTGGCACAGAGAGGGACAGCAGGACGGACAGCAGCACCCATCTCATCACCGTGCTGAGACCCGGTGCGCTCATGACACAGCACCACCTCCTTCCCCCATCCCATCACTCCCTCCGTGGGGCTTTTCCAACCTCCGTGGGATTATTTAGGGCAACGTTTCCCCGAGCAGAGGCGGCACGGGGCGCTCCGGCCGCGCATTGTGAGCGGCTCCAGCACTTGGCACCCGCCGTGCAATTGTCTGCACATAATGGCCGTGTTGAGAGAAGTGCCGGGACCAAACAACGCTATTAATAGGTGGCCCCCAGGGAGGGCTCGTGCCAAGGACCCCCCCCAACACACACACACTCCTCCCTCGAAGCTCCCGCCCTGCCCTGTGACAAGGGACCCACGCCGGACCCCGAGGCTTTGGGACCCCGAGCGCTCCGGCAGCACCGCGGCTATTTATAGTGAAGCGGTGCCTGGGGGAAGACCGGGATTAATTGCAGAGATGTCACTCCCGCAACGGATCTGGCATCTTTTAGGGCCAATCTCAGTCGCCGTCTAGACATCTTTAACCCTCCCGCTGCCAGCGTGGCTGCAGAGCTCTGGCATCACCCCACCCCACAACCGGGGGATGCTCCGATGTTCCCCGATGGGGGTCCTGGCACGCGGCGCCGTGCACGGAACCATGTGCCAACCCAGGATGGGTGGCAGATGGGAAAATCCCATGCCCGGTGCATCCCTCCTCTGCTGGCTGCCAGCACCGACCCCGTGTCACCTCCGTGGGGACACCCTATGGGTGACCACACAGGTAGACGGGTGCCAGCACCGAATGTCCCCACGGCAGAGCTTCAAAGGTGCAGCGCAAGGGGCAGACCCTCAAGTTGTGCCTATAGGGCAGGATGGCAGACCCCCCTGGCACGGCTATGGGGCAGGTTGGCAGCCCCCCTGGCACGGCTATGGGGCAGGTTGGCAGCCCCCCTGGCACGGCTATGGGGCAGGTTGGCACAATGTGGCCGCACAGCACCGCCGGAACCCAGCTCTGGTCACAGAGGAACGCAGCAGGAAGAGCTGCCGTTGGCTCCCATAAACAACACCGTGGGGCACCGAGACCTCATCTGGGAGGCACCGACACCGCAGTGCTACGAGGGACCCCCTCACACCGTGTGCCATTCACGTGCCCCCGACCGTCCCCAAAAGGGTGGGCAGAGAGCAGAGCGCGGCTGCACCGCGCCGGGGTCCTGCCCCAGCCCCAAGGAGCGCATGGCATCTCTAATGGGGCCGCGCTGGAGCTGGGCCAGGGCCGGCGGCACCGAAATCCCCATCCACGCAACAGCTGCCGGCCCCGCTCCTCGGGCACGGCCACGGCTTCGCTGCGAGCTCCGGTTTCCCAACGGAGGGGGCTGGGGGGGTATTTATAGAGGCCTGGATCCGTGCGGGGAGCGCCTCAGGGTGCATCAGCTCATGGTGACCCCGACCCTCCTCCGTCCCCGCCTGCACCCCGAGCACCGGCGGGGGCAGCACTGACTCACGGGAGGGTCTCCCCCGGTTCACACCGCGGGCGGCGCGGCGGCCGTGGGCACTGCGGCTCCGCAGGTGGTGGTGGGCAGAGGGGGGCGAACAGCACCTCAGCGCCGTTCCTACAAGCGGAACACCCGCGGGAGAGGCTCCGGAGGTGGAGAAACGCATCCTCCTCCTTCCCTGCGAGGCGTTGCGGTTGGGTGCCGAGAAGGACCCGGTGCCCCTCAGCATCACCGGGGTCCCCACGCCCCGTCTCACCTCCATAGGAACAACGGAGGGTCCCCCGCGCCCACGGGACTCCCAGACACATCCCCACCTCCTCCTCCCTCTCCTCCTCCCGGCCCCATCGCCCCCTCTGCCCGCGCTGCTGAATGACGGCGGCGGGGGGCAGCGCGGCCCCTTCCCACACCGCTCCGTCCCCTCCACACGTGGCACCGCCACACGGGGACCCCCGGCGTCCCCCGAACCCCCGCCCCCAGCGCTGTCCCACGGACGCCCATGGGTGCCACGCAGCGCCGTGCCTGTTCCCTTCCCCTCATGGATAGGTATAAATAACATGACAGATGTCTATACAAAGAGTTATTCATATCGCTGCCAACGAGCACAGCCAGGGAGCAGAGCTGAAAGGGGTGTGTGGGGGGGGAGAATTATAAATAAAAGACACCGTCCTGCAATTACAAAAAAAAAAAAAAAAAAAAAATTAGAATTAAAAAAAAAAAAAAAAAATGGAAGAAAGGGGTGTGGAGGAGGATGGAGGGCTCCGCTGCGCCGCGGCTGCTCAAGGAATGCCTGGAGAGGATGGGAATGGCCAGCAGGGACCCCACGGCTGCGTGTTTGCACGATGGGAGGGGATGAAGACCCCCCCAGAGCCCCCACTTTGAGGGCTTGGGAAGGTGGATTTGCTGCTGCCCACCACCAGGCATTCCAATTTCAGGGACGTCCTCTGGGGATGCGCCCACCTGGCAGCAGGGCCTCCATCCCCACCCTCAGACCGTGAGATGCAGCCGGGTCCCCTCTCTGCCCAAAAGGGACACGTGGGGCCTTTATGGGGGCTATGGGTAGGAGCTGCAGGTGGGGACAAGATGGGTTGGTGATGTGGGGGTCCGGCAGACCCCTCCCCTCTATATCCAGCAGCCACAGCAGTGACAAATCCCATTTCCTCTCCTGACACCGTGGGACACACGGGTGCAGCACCCACCAAAGCCAAACGATCGGTCCATCACCATCCACCCTGTCCAACACCCAACATGACCTCGTGAGTGAATCTCCCAACACCACAGGGGGCAAAGCGCCCCAAAGCAAACTATATGGGGCACCAATACCCCAATGCCAATCCCATGGGAACCCCAGTGTCCTCAGCATCAACTCTACAGAACTCAATGTCCCCAGTGCCCACCCTACAGGACCCCAACATACCCGACGTCCATCCTACAAGGCCCCAATGTCCCCAGCACCTATCCTACAGGACCTCAACATCCCCAACGCCCATCTTATAAGACCCCAACATCCCCAGCACTCACTCTACAGGACTGCAACATCCTCACTGCCCACCTTGCAGGACCCCAAAATCTCCAGCGTTCATCCAATATCCCCAGCACCCACCTTACAGGACCTCAGTGTCTCCAACGTTCATCTTACAGGACACTAACATCCCCAACACCCACCCTACAGGACCTCAACGCCCCCAACATACATCTTACAGGACCCAGTGTCCTCAACACTCACCCTACAGGACCCCAACACCCCCAGCATTCATCCTACAAGACCCCAACATTCCCAACACCCACCCTACAGGACCCCAACATACTCATCGCCAACCATACAGGACCCGAACAATCCCCACGACCCCAACACCCCCAACATCCCCCTTTTAGGACCCATCATCCCAACACCCACCCTACAGGACCCCAACATTCATCCTATAGGCGCTCAATATCCCCAACACCCACCCTACAGGACCCCAACATTCATCCTACAGGACCCCAACATCCCCAGTGCCCACCCTACAGGACCCAAACATCCCCCACTACCCCAACACCCCCACCATCCCCCTTTCAGGACCCATCATCCCCAATGCCCACCCTTCAGGACCCCAACGTTCATCCTATAGGCCCTCAATATCCTCAACGCCCACCCTACAGGACCTCAACATCCCCAACGTTCATCCTAAAGGACCCCAACATCCCCAGTTCCCACCCTACAGGACACCAACACCCACCCTACAGGACCTCAACATCCCCAGCGTTCATCCTACAGTACCCCAACATCCCCAGTTCCCACCCTACAGGACCCCAACGTTCATCCTACAGGACCTCAACATCCCCAACGTTCATCCTACAGGACCCCAAGATCCCAGTGCCCACCCTACAGGACCCAACGCCCACCCTACAGGACCCAACATCCCCAGCATCCACCCTACGGGACCCCAACATCCCCAGTTCCCACCCTACAGGACCCCAGCATCCACCCTACAGGATCCCAACATCCCCAGTTCCCACCCTACAGGATCCCAGCATTCATCCTACAGGACCCAACGCCCACCCTACAGGACCTCAACATCCCCAACGTTCATCCTACAGGACCCCAACATCTCCAGACCCTACAGGACCCCAGCGTTCATCCTAAAGGACCCCAACATCCCCAGTTCCCACCCTACAGGACCCCAGTGTTCATCTTACAGGATCCCAACATCCCCAGTTCCCACCCTACAGGACCCCAACACCCACCCTACAGCACCCAACGCCCACCCTACAGGACCTCAACATCCCCAGCGTTCATCCTACAGTACCCCAACATCCCCAGTTCCCACCCTACAGGACCCCAGCGTCCATCCTACAGGACCCCAACATCCCCAATGCCCACCCTGCAGGACCCCACCATCCCCGCTGCCAACCACACAAGACCCAAACATCCCCCACTACCCCACCACCCCCCTTCCAGGACCCACCACCCCCCATACCTTGGAGTAGAGCCCCCAGGACAGCTCGGTCTCGATGACCATGACGACGATGCCGAACATTCCGAAGATGAGCGCGTAGTCGCTCAGCCGCTTCCTCTTCTCGAACAGCGCGCGCCGGTGGCCCAAACGGTACCCGATGTTCTGAGCTTTGCGTTTGGGCCCTTTGGCAAAGCCGGCGGGTGCGGGGCGGGCGGGCGGGCGGTCGGCGCGGGGGCCGTGCCGGGTGGGGGGCCGGGCGGGGGGCGCGTGGTTGTCCTCCCTCGAAACGACGATTTCGGGGGGTCCGCCGGCACCGAAGAGCTGTAAGGGCTGAGCTTCGGGTTCGGCCTCGATGAGGTTCCTGCGGGAGGCACTGAGCCGGCTGAGGGGCTTCATCACCCCCCCGCTGTACTTGCAGGAGCTCATGGCGATCTCGGTGAAGGGGTTGCTGTCCCGCCGGTGCACCAGGGGGCTGGGCTGCCGGTGTTTGCCCCCCGACGGCACCGCCGAGCCCGGCGAGTGGCCGCCCAAGTGGTCGCTGAGGTTGAGCTGGCTGCCGTGGCGGGAGGAAGGGTGGAGGGCGGCGGGGGCGGCGGGAGGAGGGGCCCGCAGCGACCCGGGCGAGGAGTGCAACAGGCTGTGCTGGAGCGGCGGCAGCGCGGCGGGCGGCGGCGGCGGCGGCGGCCGCTCGTCCCCCGACGACGGGCACGGGCACCGGGGGTCCTCCTCCAGATCCCCCACGCCCGAATCGTGGAAGTGCCCCGACGTGTCCATGGCGGTGCCGCCTCACCGCCCGCCGCGCACCTGCCCCGCCGCCGCCGCCGCCGCCGCTCCGCCGGGTACCGGCACCGGGCCGGGCCGCCCGCCTCCCGCTCCGTTCTCCGCCGCCGCCGCCGCCGCCACCACCGGCCCCGGCCCCGGGGCGGCGGGCGCGCGGCTGCTCATGAATGGGAGCCGCGTCCCTCCAGCGCTGCGCGCTCGCCGCCGCCGCCGCCCCCGCCGCCGCCGCTGGCCCGGCCCCACCGCCAGCACCGCCCCGCCATTGGCCGCGCCGGGGCTCCCCGCAGGCTGACATCATTCCCCGCCCCGCTCCCGCGCCCCCGGCCCCTGCGCCTGTGCGGGGCGCACGGGACTTGTAGTCCGCCGGGGGGAAACGGAGCGGCGAGCGGGTGAAGACGGAGCGCTGCGGGTGAAGACGGAGCGTCCCGGGACCGCCCCGAGGAGCCCCGCTCGCACCGACGGGCCGGCGCCGAGCCCCGGGCGGCGCACGTCGGGGCGGGGAGCGGCGGGGACCGGGCGATGCCCGCGGGTGCGGCCGCTCCTCCCGGTGACCGCCCTTCGACGGGGGCTGCCCCGCTACGGGGGGCTCCGGGACGGGCACCGGAGACCGCGTTGCCCCCGTAGGGGGGACCCTGTGGCCCCCTGGATCCGCCCCGCCAGCTGCCGCCCTACAACGCTCGGTAATCTCCTTAGGGCACCGAACAGAGGTTGGGGATTACGGCAGCAGCTGGAACCGGTGGAGACCGGATGGGGTCGGGTCACCCCCTGCGCTATGCGGGGATGGGGGCACAGGATTGATGGGGGGGGGGACGGGACGCGGGGTTAAGCTGGCTCACGGCAGCCTCACATCCCCCCGCTGTGCCCTCTGCAGACCCCAAAGGGTCCCTGTTTCCCCAAACCCGGAGCGGTGCCCAGCTGCTGCAGGAGCCCAGCTGGATGCACGCAGCATTTGGGCAGGGGCTGTTTGCTTCGGACGCGATTAATCCGCAGCAGGAAACGTGCGACAGCACACCAGCGGGCACCCGGCTCCGGGATGCGGGAATTAAATGCACCTTACCCACCCCCAAAACCCCTCCCCCTCGGGTGGAGAGTTCCATGAGAAGGGCAGAGCTGACCCCCTCCCCCCTCCAACGGGAAGGAGATGCGGACCCCACGCGTTATTCAGCGTCAGCGCTTTATTTGGAGGCACCCCGGGGGGGGAGGGGGGGACACGGGGCACTGTCCCCATGCTGTGGTTGAAGGTCCCTGAGCAGCAGCAAGCCCCACTCCTGCAGGAAGGCACAGCCTCTGCAGATGGAAGTTCTTGGGGAGGGGTCTCCACCTTCCCCAGCACCATGAGACCCCATAAAGGGTGAAGCCCCCGGGACGGATGAGGTCCCTACACCATTTCCATCCCCATCCCGTGGCTACAGGCGGCTGCGGACGTCCTGCAGCAGCGCCTCCAGCTGTGCACCCAGGGCTGCCCCGTCCCCATCGTTGGTGATCACCCAATCGAAGGTCACCCCCTGGTCCAGGCCGCACTCAGACTCAGCGTCGTCCACCCCTGGGGAGGAGCAGAGCCCCCAGAATTGGGTCAGGATCCCCCCAACTTCTGCTCGGTGCTGCGGGGCTTTATGCAGAAACTGCGGGTCCTGCAGCCAGGGGTGAGTGTGGGGATGGGGGACAGCAATGGGGACAAGGAATGGCAGTGGGAACAGATGGCAGCAGGGGACAGCTATAGGGACAGGGGATAGCAGTGGGGATAGGGGATGGCTATAGGGACAGGAGATGACAGAGGGGATAGGGGATGGCTATAGGGACAGGGGGTGGCAGTGGTGATAGGGGATGGCAGAGGGGACGGGATGGCTATAGGGAAGGGGACTGCAGTGGGAATAAGGGATGGCTATAAGAATAGGGGACAGCTATAGGGGTAGGGGATGGTAGAAGGGATAGGGAACAGCTATAGGGACAGGGGACAGCTATAGGGATAGGGGATGGCTATAGGGACAGGAGATGCAGAGGGGATAGGAGACAACTATAGGGATAGGGAATGACAGAGGGGATAAGGGACAGCTATAGGGATAGGGGATGGTAGAAAGGATAGGGAACAGCTGTAGGGACAGGGAATGGCAGTGGGGATAGGGGATGGCTATAAGGACAGGGGATGGCTATAGGGAAGGGGATGGCTATAGGGATGGGATGGCAGAGGGGATAGGGAATGGCTATAGGGACAGGGGATAGCTAT